CACCAAGGAGAAAGAGAAGAAGAGCACCCCGCCTGCCAAGGACAAAGGCACCAAGGAGAAAGAGAAGAAGAATTGTGACTCTCCAGCTGAGCTTCCAGAGGACCATGAAACTGACTCGACTGACTCGGAGGAGTATCACAAAAGGGAAGTCGCAGCAAGGGTGAAACGAGAAGCCCACGCGAGATATATGCGCTTCTCTCGATCTTTGACCAGTATCTCGATACAATTTCAGGTACAGGGTGGACATGTCAACGCTTGATCAGGTATTGGGACACCCCCATTCAAAAACACACCATAGCTGCGATAGCTGTTAACCTGTTGGGATGTTCAATGTGGAAGGCAGCATTAATTTGCTATGTGATTTGTTTAGTGTCTTGGAAATGCGAAGTGTGTCCTTTAGATGTTTAGATTGCTCAAGGAGCCTGGGATTGCTCATGCTGAAATGCGATTCTTATGTCTGGCTTGATGTTTGCTATGGCCCCTAGCCAAGGCCCGCGTACGCCCCCAGAGGTTCAGCGTGCAGGCCGTGCGGCCTTCCGCAACGTTCCGATGCTCCAGGTGCTCCAAGAGCAATGGACCGCCTGTAGCGGCGTCTGGACTGAATCAGCCTTTTATTTAGAGGTTAAACAGAAGCGTCGAAACCGTACATACGGATCACGACGCTGGATGTGCCGAAGTGAACTAGCCAGCAAGTTTGGCAGCTTGGAAGTAGCCCAGCAAATTATAGATGCGAAGATGGCCGACCCGGAAGCGCGTGTCAGTCAGATTCGCGCGAATCCGGACCTGCACGGTCTTGACACCGACGATTCTTGGTGAAATCAACATCTATTATGATTGGGAACACCTCCAATCTCTTAGAGCAGCTTTTGTGGTTGAAGGGTATTTTTCATTACTTGGAGCTCTATGTGTATATTTTTGTTGCCATTGGCGACCCAAAAGTTAGATCATTTGGAAGGAGTGCCTGTTCGTGTTTAGACACTATGGTTTGGAGCATATGATTGGATTGGGGTTAAGGCACACCCATCTGCCACAAATGTCTATGTTCACCAGCAATTGCTCAGGAGACCCGGCAATATCTGGTCTGGGATCGTGAAGGCGAAGAAACCACGGTAGACCATGTCACCACTTCGCTCTTCGAGGCCGCGGACAAGGATGAAGGTGCAGAGAGGGGGAGAGGTAGGTCAAAGTCAAAGACCAAAGGCAAGAGATCAAGGAAGGCAAAGCAGGGTAAGAAAGGTAAAGTGAAGAAGAGAAAGCATTCATCATCCTCCAGTGTCAGTATCTCCAGTGACTCCAGCAGCTCCAGCAAGTCATCCGGTTCATCATCAGCAGCATCAGCCAAGGCGCATATTCGAGCCGTCTATATACTCAGAATCATGTGCGTATATTGATAGTAAGTGTCAGGCCATATGCATGTACATATGTCCATGCCACGCCTGCTGCCGAACAAAGCATGTCTTTTCCAGCTCACACTCGCCCCATGACAGGAGCCTGCAAAGAAGAAAAGCAAAAGACTCAAGAAGACGAAGCAGGATCGCAGAAAGAAGTCGAAGTCAAAGTCGGCAGACCGTGAGACTGAAGAGCAAAGAAAGAAAAGAGAAGAGAAGGAAGCGGCTGCAGAGAAAAAGAGGCTGGAAAAGGAGCAAGAAAAGCAAAGAAAAGAAGAAGATAAGAAAAAGAATGAGGCGTTCAGGAAAGAGCTACGGAAGGGAACTCAGGCTAGGTGGTGCCAATGGCTTTCTGGGTGAACGTTCATTCGATTTGTCAATCAATATCCTTCCTTCCTCCATCCACCACCCATCCCTCCTGCAGGCCCAAACCAAGCTCAGCGATAAGATCTCGACGGCCACCACTCTTGATGACAAACTTCGCAATCTGTTCCTTGGCTTCATGCGTTCTGTGAGCCGTGAGCCTGTGGGCTTGGGTCCAGCTGGATCAAGTCATCAAGTCTTCTTATGTCTAATGTTGTATCCTTTTCATGCCCAATGGACAATATATGTCGTGTATATGTTGCAATAGTTGCATCTTAGTGCAGTCACCGCATGTCTCATGTCGAACAAATGCCCCATATTGGCCATCTTCAATCCACTGATTTGTTGACACCCTACCCAAAATCTCTCTCTCTCTCAAACGGCGGGTTGCATGACCGGGCCAAGGGGTGCATCTGTGGTGACAGCAATCCTCGCCGAAGTCAAACCCCATATCGCTTCCATGAAGAAGTCACGCGACGCTTTGCAAAAGTCTCTGGATTCAGCGAAGGTGCGGCTTGAATCAAGGGTCGTGTCCATAGAATGCCATATCGATCCTAGGTTATTCTCAATGTGACTATGGTGCATCTTTCCCTACCCCTGGGCCCTAAACTGTACATTGGTTGTTTTTACCCAGAATTGCTGTCTTTGACTGGAGGCAGACAACCTGGGCTCACTACTTGCTGATGTTGAGAAGAGCAATGACATCATGGCCAAGTTCACTCAGTTTCTTGCGGCATACCGCATTAAGTGAGCGGGTGGCTGTGTGATCGCACAGCCTATAGGACTTGGGCCGTTGGACATGTGCATCATTCAAGTGCCCAGCGAACGTCTTTGCAAACGTTTGTTGTATTCACATGATGAAGTGAATATGTTCACCTTGTTGTGCCAATGATCACTTGATCAATCTTCAACAAAGGCCAGGGATTGTGGTTTGGTTCAGGGAATATGGTGGGCACGTTTTGAACATACTGGATGCACCAGGGCTATGGTTGACCCTCAACCTTTGGGGTACTGAATGGTCAACAACCCTAGCTTGCAGTGAGAATGAACCGCAGGCTGGGCTAGATGTTCGACCAACTTAGGGACAAAATGGAGTTTGGTGACATGCTGACGCCTGTCCGTCCGTGAAAGAAAACCAGCGCAGTGCGGATTGGAAACAAATGTGTTTCTCTGAATTCAATCCCCAAAGTTTGGGATTAGAAAAAACCTCGCACTGTTGACGTCATTGTTTCCTCCATCTGGAGGTGCAGCTGATCCTGGCGAGCCAGTCGCCCTTTTTGGCCACTATGATGATGTGGCATCTGGTGTGCTTTGGCTTACAATAATTCAACTTGCACCTGTCCCCCAACCATGAAAAAGTTACCGCTCCACAACTAAATTTGAGAGTGGACCGGACTCATCCTGCCATCTCTCCGCAGTCCCTGTTTCTAAAATAGCCAGGCATCTTCTGTTGGGAGGGCCATGCAGCGGATCAGAAATCAAATCGCAGTTCCTCAGATGCAATCGTGGGCGATCGTGGGCAGGCCTCTGGTGGCTGGACTGTTCAACGAGCGTTTGATATGTTGATATGTTTTTTAATGCAAATGTTGAGGTTGTTGTATGAGAAACGCATTTACACATGTGTCTACCCAAACATGGGATGCAGTATCAAGATGTCATATTTAATGGGTATAATAGCAAGTTGTGAAGTCGAACATGCTTCACAGCATGTGTCCTCTGTTGATGTTCTTCAAAGTGTACTACGGGAACCATGTGATATGTTACTTATTAACTTATTACGGTCAAATCTATGTTGTTCGTCGCCCAGGAAACTGGAGATGCTTCTCATCCTGAGACTCTTCGACTTGGGTCTGGGTCATCCTCTGGCCACAATGATGTTCGAGACTTTTGGCGTAAGTCTGACATACCGGTTGTATCTTGGCTATAGGGTGGAGTGGTGGGACGGGGGCGCTTAACAACATCTACAGTCACACTTTTTTAATATAGAAATGTTAAGGATGGGCGCCAATGAGAACAACCAGTGCGGTTCACCCATGGTGAAAAAACGCAACCTCGGTTCTCGATGAACAATTTGTCCAATTAAAGGTTTGGAAAGCAGGTTCCAAGGGATGGATATCTAAACAACAACCATAGAAACCTTGTAAAGTTTTTGTATATCATGTGTCTTTGATAGATATTAGTCCCCTGATCATTTCAAGTCCTAACCCGAGTACCAGTCAAGGCAATCCATAACATCAAGGTGCCCGTGAAAGATGAGAAAGCTGCGCGTGGCATCAGCTTTGAAATCTTTCCCATCATTCACCCTCATGAGGTTTTATCTTATTTGTGGGACCATGTGGGCCTTCGTGTGTCGCCAGAGGAAGTTGCCAAGTATTGGCAGCATGCCAGACAATTCAATCAGCAGTGGGCCACGTTGGCCTCCGCTTCTGACAGACACATCCCAATTGGCTTGCACGGAGACGCTGCCAGGCTTTGGACGCAGGTGAGGTTCGAGAAGGTTATTGCGATACACTTGAACGTGTGCCATTTCCGCCCCAGGAGCATCAGGCATTCACGTTTTCTCCTGTTCAGCTGCCCCTATGAGAAACTATATAAGAACCGTACACTCAATCAGGTGTTTCGTCGCATCACCTGGAGCCTGGAGGCTGCTTTTGACGGCATGAATCCACAGACGGGTGTGGGCGGAAAGGCGTTGTCTTTGCACGATCAGAAACGATCTCAGCAGCCACTGACACGCTGCGGTGCAAGGTTCGCTTTATGCGAGCTAAGGGGGGACTGGGAGTGGCATGTTTTCCTTTGGAGGCCCCGCGCCTCTTGGCAAAGCAATGTAATTTGCTTCCGCTGCCCTTGCCTAGCAAAGGGGCCTGACACAAGCAAGCTATATTACAACTCCGGCGATGATTGCAGCTGGGAATCTGAGGAGTTCACGCTACAGGAATTCGTAGTTCACCGTCTTAAAGAGACAAACTTGTGTGCCTTCTCTCGATTTTGGTAACGATATTTCTTTGGGTGTCAAGGTTGTTTTTAATGTATTTGTCCAAGTGCCTTTGACGGAGTGGGCATGAATGTCGACACAAGGTCCACTGTTGAACCTGCGGATGTTTCAGCACCCATCGCTCCTGCGTTGGTGCACCATGCACACGCTGAATCTTGGTATGGTCTTCTCTGCCAACGGTGGGAGTTTGATTCTCAACTATCTTAGCCTTATGTCATCTTGTGTCTTGTATGTGGTTTCATTGTGTTTCGTTTGTGATCCCTGCAAGCCATCAGTGGGCTTATTTGCACTGTGTGTTGGCCCAGTGATAAAATCAGGATTTTGTTGACTGAAGAGCTCCAATACTTCGGGCCTGGGAATTTCAAGGATCAGTTAGAACGCGCATACAAGCACTTTGTAGCTTTCTGCAGAAGCCATCGCATCAAACAGTCCCAGCCACCATTTCTTCCCAAAATGGACACTTGGAAGTTGGAAGCAAGTTTCTCTTGGTAGTTTGCACGGTGCACACTATCAATTTCTTGAAGCCCCCAAAACATCCTAAAACCTTTTGGGGCTGGAGTTTGCCACGCCTTGTTCTATCCTTGTACTTTGCTCTTTGCTGACAAAGGTGAAGAAGAAAACTGGAGAGATGCTACTGACCGCAAAGGCGTACAATGGCAGGGTCATTGTAATGTGGTTGACACACTGCTTGCTGGATGCTGTGCGGCGCTTTCCAGAGCATGAGATCCTTTTGATGACCAGTGTGGCAATGAACCTTGTTTGAAAAATGACCCAACTCAAGTTATCTCTTGGAGAAAACGTATCCCATATAGAAACAGCCCAAAGCAGCAGTCATTGCCTATGCAACTAGAAACCTAGCAAAAACATCACGCTATCCTGGCCAAAAACAAGATGTGCCAAGGAGCGCTTTGGCCAAATTCTTTTCGATGATGGAGGCCAACGGACGCCATTTGACGCATGGCGGAAAAGTGTTGTTGCATGTGCGTCGTCTTGTGCTATACTGTCCAAGCCGTACACTGTAGATTCCACCCCTAAGGACACAACATGCTGCAAATACCCTGCATGACAGTGGAATGCAGTTCTTGGAGATGTATCGGGCGCTATGTGTGGAACACATAAGGTGGGGGTGGCCTGGGGTTCAATGTCCAACTCCTCGGCCCTTTATAAGGTCTGTTTCGAGGTTCCAGGTGCTTACTGTAGTAAACTACTAGTGCAGTTGTGCTAGATCTAGGTGTGTGGTGAGAATGTTGGTTGATGGTCCTCTACAAGTTTGCAGGCTCCAGCGAAGCATGTGGCTGATGAAACCAAAATTTCATGCCACCTGTCTCAATTCAGACACACATGTAAATGCATGCTGCACATGTTATACATTTGGCACATTTGGTCCTTGACATCCGCTGGTGTCCATGTGAGATGTGAAAGATTGAAGTTCCAAGGTGATGATTCATATTTGCAAAGATTGCAAACGATACAGCTCCTTCATAGCAGTCCAATGCTGCATGTGTGTGAATATCAGGTACTACGCAAGCGTGTGAGTGTGAATGCTGTGCTGTGTTTTGTGCGTCGTATCCGTGTACACTCTAAGGGTGCAATCCCAGATTCTGGCATACATATGCAGACGAAGATTCGATGCGATGGGTAAAGAGTTGCTTGGATCACAGGCCTTAAGTGGGCCCCATCATGCCCCACCCAAACAGGTTTGAGAGTGTATACAGCTGAGTTTGTCAGTCAAAGCCAAAGACGGCCAAGGTATTGCAGCTCGTGCTCACCCCAAGACGCGTCACATGTGGCTTTTGCGATGCGCAAAGTTGAGGCCCCTTGATTTTTGTGTGCTTAGCTAGCTGGTTTTGTATTGAATTTACTGTTCACATCCAGGCTGCTTTCGATGAAGCATTGCTTATCACGAAAGAGGAGCCTTGGATTTAATAGAGAAGACTTTCATACCCAGCTAAGAATCTAAGATTCACATGGGTTCGCATGAAGAATCATGCAGAACAAACATAATGAAACCTTTGCTTCAGGACATGCGAGCAAAGAAGACGCTGAACCTTTGGCAGCCCTTGGCCGCCATGCTCTTGCTACAAAAGAAAAGGTGTTGATCGTGAAAGGGCGTGATTGACAAAAGACTGTTTAGACTATGGGTGAAACCGTCTTTGTTCTAAAGACTGTTGTTAAAATAGCTTTTGGAGTCCTAGGGTATATATATATATCATATCAATATCTATCTATCACATTATCTACATTATCTATCATCTATCTATCTATCTATCTATCTATCACTATCTATCTATCTATCTATCCATCTATCTATCTATATGTCCATCTATCTATCTATCTGTCTATCTACCTATCTATTTATCTATCTACCTGCCTACCTATCTATCTATCTATCATGTTAAATCTATCTATCTATCCATCCATCCATCTTTATCTATATTTATCTATCTTTATCTATCAGTATCAATCAATCAATCAAGCAATGAATCGATCAATCAGTCAATCAATCACATCTAGCGCCAAATCAAATCGATCTAACGTATCTATCTGTCAGTCCATCCATCTATCTATCTGTCTATCTATTGAATCAATACCTATCTATACCTATCTACTTTTTTTCCGCCGTGGGCACTAAAGTGTCCGTAGGCCCACGATGCGTCAGCTTTCAAAATTTCCGCGCGAGAGCCATCTGATACATTTTTTGGTGTTGCCTTTCCGTGTTTTCATACTCCGTCCGTTCGTCCGACTCGGACCTCCAAGCCTCCTCTTGCCAATGGGAAAAACCGCTTGCAGAACTGGGCGCATCAGTGACTGGTCTTAATGGGTCACCATTATGAGTTCGTCCAGCTACTGCAGCTCATCTCTTTGAGGAGGTCCGAAAACAACTGGATTTGTTGTCCATGTGTGTTCAAAAGCAGTTCTCAAGACAAACTCATTGGTGTTTCGATTGACAAAAGTGGTCTCCAGTCCCAAAATCGATCTCAGGCCACGAAGGTGAAATGCATGTGTTCTTTTTAACATGCTTTGGGTGAGGTGAACGGTTTCCAACCCATAATACCTATCTACTATCTACATCTATCTACAGTATTTATGTATTTATCTATCAAACCATACCATCCATCGCCAGCAGCCTTTGTGTTGGGTAACACTCAATAGGGCTCTCTATGGTGTCCGTTGGGCACTGCAGTTCACACGTTTTCCGCAAGAACCGGTCCATCATGTTCCTGGCTTCTCCGGTTGTTCAATCCAAATGGGGGGGGTTGCTCAAAAGTCTACAACAGGTGGAATGAGAACTTCTTGGAGCTGGCGACCCTCTTTTGGTTCCACTGGCTACCATGGTGACTACATCACTACGCCGCACGAGCGAGTGCGGGAGACGTTCTGAAGAGGCACAGCTTCTCGTCATCTCGTCCACTCTTGGGGGCTTTCCTCAGGTGCCATCAGCGGATCACACTTCGCATCGCACCGCCC